CATGAAGTTTTAGAACGCTGTTATGGTAGTACTAATTGTGATGAAAATTTAGGTGAAAAAGTAGAAGTTGATTCGGAAGAAGATGAATTGGAAGAAACACCTACTAGTTTGGCGACGAAAGATCCAACTCAAACTACAATTTCAATTGAGCAAACTTATCAACGCTCCCGCCCCCCCTCTGTACCTCCTACAAGGGGAAAGGTGAAGTATCAACGCTCTAAAACTTCTGTTCTGTAGCAATTTATGATTTTATATAAGTAAAACTCTATTGTTATTTGTCATAAGTGTAAACAACACTTTATACATAGACAAGGTGGAGTTCAAGGTGGGACAGGGGCTTAAATAGAAATTTGTTAACTTGTAAACCGATTGAATATAAGGCCGCCAAAGCTCTAGCCGATAAAAAAAAGAATTCAAATTAATGATGTTGATATTAATTCTAATGTTAATCAATTGGCAGGGGCTTCTAACATGGTTTAAGGAACATTGGATCCTTCTAACCCCGCTGGTCCACTTACACAACGTAAATATAATAAAGAAATAGATCGCAAAAATTTAGCTAAGATGGTTTATGTTTGTGGTGTGCCTTATGATTTTCCTTCACATCCCAATTTTATTGAATATATTCAACAAACTTATAATCCTTCTTTTAAAGGTGTTTCAAGAAATACTATTACAGCTGATTTTTTTTTATATCAAGGTAAACATTGTCAATATCTTCGTTGTTTATTTAGCATATTAGATTGTAGAGTGTCTATAACTTCCGACATAAATTGTAGGGTGAATAGACATGATTATTTAACTGTTACAACACATTGGATTGATCATAACTGGAATTTGGAAAAAAGAATCTTAAGTTATAAAGAATGTGTAGAGAAAAAACGGGTGCATATATAGCTTCAACTATTTTAGGTGTTTTAGATTTTTATATGCTTTTAGATAAAATAATGAGTGTCGCATTAGATAATGCATCTAATAATACAAATGTTGTTAGTATGTTAAAAACTAGACTATGTCCAATTGATACTAATTCTTTTCATATTAGATATGTATTAAATTTAGTTGTACAAGATGGTGTTTCATTATTTGATTGTGGTTATATGAAAATTGAATATGTTGTTTTATGATTTTTTTATGCTCATAGACCTACTAGAATTAGGGAATTTAACGAGCGTTGTGCACTATGTGATATGACACCACGAAAAGTTTCCAAACATGTTAAAATAAGGTGGAATTCTTTTTTATGAAATGTTATTAGTTGCTTATGAATATAAAGGACCCATGCAAATGATTTTTTATGTTCATAATGTTGACCTACTAAAAAGAATTTGTGAAGCAGATTGGGAACAAACTAAAGAACTATTGGATTTTTTAAAACTTTTTTATAAGGCTACAACCATGTTCTGGAATTTATTATCCTACTATTTCATCAGTATTAATAAATATTTGTGCTATTTCAATTCAATTTTCTAAGTTCAAAAAAATTTGAAAAATCTAGAGAGGCTATTGAAGGGATGATTGAAAATTTTTAATTTTTTTTTCCTATTCCTCAAATTTATTTAACTGCGACTTTAGTTAACCCTCAATATAAATTACGAGGTGTGCAGAGACTTGTTGAAACTTTTTATGATACTTTAGAAATTTTACCGGGAGAAGTTTCAACTTGTGAAATATGTAAGTCTAACATAAAATTTCAAGGCAAAATTTTGTATGAAAAATATAGAACTATAGAAATTACTGAAGGAGAAGTTTCTCAAACTTCAAATGCTGCAAGTAATGATGAAATTGATAATTTTATGCAAGGTTTTCTAGGTCTTAATTCTACTAACCATGATAATATTAAAGAATATCTTAATCAGTCTTTAGAAACTGTAACACCTAGGAAATCTAAAAGACTAAACTAGGCCTAAGTGAGAGGGGTAGGGCCAAGGAAGAGGGAAAGAGCCAAGGAAAGGGCTAGGGCAGCCTACTCTTCCATAGACACTGCCCACCTTCCCACAACCACCACCATGGCTCGTGGTGTTACTCATAGTGGTGAGGCAGTTGCTACCCCAAGGCTGGCCAAAACAGCCTCCTCCACACGAGGTCCTTGATGGCTCATGAAGGCCACCACGGCCGTGGGAGGGCTCGGGGTCTTCACTTATCCTTTGGGGGGGGGGGGGGTAAAGGGGTGGAACCCTAGATACTGGTTCAAGGACCATGGAGGGAACCACAACTTGTGGTAGGGACCACAGCTCGTGGGACCTCACGTGGTCATGAGGCAGACTACTGTAGGCTAAGGGAAATTTGGGTCTTTCCGATTTTAATTGGATTAATACCATGTCATTTTGCCTAAGCCTAGGACCCCTATATAAGTAATTTTAACCCCAAAACTTACCCATTCAAGTCATTATTCTCAAAACCAAAAAGAAAATCAAAGATCTTCCTCTTCAAAATATTTCTCTCTCTAGAAACTTGAAGAAGAAGAAATGATTCAAGCTAGGATCAAGGTCAAGTCTCAATTACTCCATTGAAGTTAAGCTTTGGGCTTTGAGGTATGATAGTTTTCATCCATGTATTCCTTCCATCCATGGAGTTCCCAAATTGCTCAATTTCAAAGATTAGAATTCCCCAATTGAGTTAGGATTTTCTTCAATTATCATAGGTTCTCTTCAATGTTGATTTAAATGATTGAATTATGATATCTTATGAATGAATTGATGAATTACAATGATTTTATGATGATTACCCCCATGAACCCATGTAATCCCCATGTTTTCAAGTTATGAATCATATGATGTGAGATTTTTGATCTTCAAGGAATAGTTTTATGAAATTAAGCACGTATTGCAAGATTTACATGAATTTATGATGAAATCCATATCTAAACCATATTTTATAAGTGTTGATGATTGAAAGTGGGTTTTGACCTTGGAAGGGTAAATTATGAAATTATGCATGTCTTTATGAACTCTATGCAAATGTTTTAAGGATGCTTTGATAGTAAAGTATCAATGATTATTATGATGTGTTATTGAAAGGATTTTTATCATAAACACAGAATAGCATGATGTGAAAGGTTTCTGACATAATAAGGATTCTTAGGTTGAAAGGCTCGCTCACCTAATTGAATCAAAGATTAAATTATATTATAAAAGATCATGGACGGTGAAATGTTTTTTCATGCATGGTCTAATGAGCTATCCTAACGAAATTAATTTGATTTGGTTGTCCAAGGGCACCTTTTCATGTGTAATGAAGTCAAGTAAGAAATGTCTATTCTGTGGGATTTATGCTTAGCACCGAGTGGTTATTGAATATGAGATGGAATCTCTCACGATAGTAGAGGCCGGGTTTTCGAAGTAATCTCATGAGATGGAAGCCCTCACGTCAGTAGAGGCCGAGTTTATAGTAGCAATCTCCTTATCTCATAACTATGTGCCCCCATAGGTTGATTAGATGTGGGATCCACTTAAGCTAGATTGTCATGGCTCTACCTTGGCAAGTAGGACAACCTTTTTCGGTGTGGGAAACACTGGGGATCATGTTATAGCTCACATGATCTCATGTCTGTTAAGGCTAATTCCCCACAAGTAATAATGAAATAAGGTTACTTCAAGAAGTATCACATATAAGTTTCAAAGGTTTTAAAGATGAAGTTAACTTGCATTGACCATGATTTATGACTTATGTTTTATAACTCTTTCATATGATATTTAACTTGGTCAATTGCATGTCATGAAATGAAATGTCCCTTTTTGCATGATTTCAAATGTTCTATGCATGGCTATCATACTTGGTACATTTTTTTTGTACTAACGCATACTCTTGCCTACATTTTCCCCAAATGTAGGGTCCAACATTCAGGGTGCTCAGCTTCATGGCTAGTTGGTGATTTGATTGATTCTCGAGCTTTGGTGAGTCCTCATGCTTCGAGGACGGAGCTTTATTGTTTTAGTCTCTTTCATGTATTTCTCTTTTGGACATGATGCAAAAGCTAGGCTCAATTTCATTCTATTGTATTAGATGGTTGTGATGAGACAAGAGTTTAGACTTCCGCTTTTCGTTTTATAAAATGTTTTGAACTTGAACTACTGTTTTACTCTTATTGTTATATTTCTTATGTTATGAGAGCTAAGTGGCTTGTATGGAGTCCTTCGGGGTTCTATACGCCATGTTACATCTAGGGGGTACCCCTGGGTCGTGACAAACTTGGTAATTAGAGCACAATGTTTAGAATAGTCCTAGGATGTCTTATAAGCCACGTCTAGTAGAGTCTTGTTCATGAGTGTGTATGGCGCCACATTTATGAATGAGAGGATACAAGATGATTAGGAAACTCAATTACTTTCATTACTCTTAAGTCGTGCGATAGAGTTTAACTCTATAAGGTCTCTATCCTAATCCTTATCCTATGTTCTTGAGGATATTGCTACCCGAAGAGCGTATGCTACAAGGAATGCGAAGGAGATTGCGGAACAAGAAGATCCTCCCCAAGCTCCTCAAGTTCTGGTCGATCCTTTGGCTGAGCAAGTGTCAAATGCAGAGTTTAGGGCGGTTTTCAAGTATTGGCCCAGGCTATGACGGCCCAAGCAAATAGGGAGGTAATGGTTCCCATGAACCCAAATGTGGGTACGACGACTTCAAGAGTAAGAGACTTCACAAGAATGAACCCTCCGGAGTTTCATGGTTCCTAAGATGAGGAAGATCCTCAAGAATTTATTGATGAGGTCTATAAGGTTTTGATGATCATGGGAGTTATACCGATGGAAAAGGTGGAGTTGGCCACTTACCAATTGAAAGGTGTGGCTCAAGTATGGTATAACTAATGGAAAGAAGGGAGATCGAAAGATGAAGGTCCTCTTGATTGGGAGAAGTTTAAGGCCATTTTTCTTGATAGGTTATTTCCCCTTGAGATGAGGGAAGCCAAGGTGCTTGAGCTCATTAACCTTCGACAGGGAAGTATGAGTGTGAGGGAATATGCTCTAAATTTCACTCAATTGTCCAAGTATGCTCCGTCAATGGTTGCAGATTCAAGGGCTAGGATGAGTAAGTTTGTATCAGATGTGTCCGAAATGGTGGTTAAGGAGTGCCAAACCGCAATGCTCATTCATGACATGGAAATCTTTCGTCTTATGGTGCATACACAACAAATTGAGGAGGAAAAACTTAAGGAAAAGTCTAGGGAGGTAAAATGGGCTAGGACCAGTGATGAAAATTTCTCTAATGCAAGGTCCGATGGACAAGGTCATCCTTGATTTTGACAAAGGTTTTCCGGTCAAGGTTCCTACAATGCTCCTCCTAAGTTCAACAAAGATAGGGTGTCTAACCCTAAGCATCAAGGAGGTAATGGTAGTGTTTCTTCATTGCCTAGGCCTAATTGTACTAAGTGTGGAAAGAAGCACGATGGTAAGTGCCTAGCCAACACAGATGGCTGTTTTGGTTGTGGTAAGACTGGTTACAAAATGAGGGATTGCCCGATGCTTGTGGCTAAAGAAAGAGAGGGCAAACAAGCTACTCCTCATGGTTTGGGTTCCAATGATCCTAAGCAAAACCGGTTCTATGCGCATCAGACTCGAGGTGAACAAGAAGGTTCTCCTAATATGGTTACCGGTATGTTGAAAGTTTTCCAACTTGATGTATATGCTTTACTTGATCCCGGTGCTACCTTGTCTTTTGTGATGCCATATGTGGCTATGAGGTTTGATGTGCTCCCTGATGTGTTGTTAGAACCTTCTGTTGTCTCTACTCCTGCTGGTGATTTTATTGCGGCTATGAGGGTCTATAGAAAGTGTCATGTTTCCTTGTCCCATAGAGTTACTCTTGTTGACTTGGTAGATCTTGATATGTTAGACTTTGATGTTATCTTGGGTATGGATTTGTTGCACTTATGTAATGCTTCTATCAATTGTAGAACTCGTGTAGTCAAGTTTCAGTTCCCAAATGAGCTTATCCTAGAATGCAAGGCGGGAAATTATATGCCTAAGGGTCAGTTTGTTTCTTATCTTAAATCTAGAAATATTATCTCTAAGGGTTGTTTTTACCATCTAGTTAGGGTGAGGGATGTAGATTCTGAAACCCCTACTCTTGAGTCGGTCCCCGTTATAAGTGAATTTCTAGAAGTATTCCTGATGACTTACTCGGTATTCCTTCTGAGCGGGAAATAGACTTCGGTATTGACCTTCTCTCAGATACGCAACCTATCTCTATTCCTCCTTACTGTACGGCTCTGGCAAAACTTAAGGAGTTGAAACAACAATTGAAGGATTTGTTGGATAATGGTTTCATCTGACCGAGTATCTCTTCATGGGTTGCTCCAGTTTTATTTGTGAAAAAGAAATATGGTTCTCTTCGGGTGTGTATAGATTATCGATAGTTGAAAAAGGTGACCATTAAGAATAAGTATCCTCTCCCAAGGATAAATGATTTATTTGACCAATTCTAGGGGCAAGTTATTTCTCTAAGAACCAATTGAGGGTGAAAAATGATGACATTCTGAAAATGGCTTTTCAAACTCGGTATGGTCATTATGAGTTTTTATTGATGTCGTTTAGGTTGACTAATGTCACGCCCCGAGGTTATACCCTAGACGCAGACACAGGAACAAGGATCACGAGTGACCCCAAGCTAACACTGCTGGCATATCATAAGCATACTAAAGTAAACTGAATCAATAAAACACTGTGCGGAAGCTAAAAAATATGATAATCTGAAAAGATGGGTAATACCCATATACTATATGAGTAAAGAAAACTGAATGTTTGAATACAAATGAAAAGTAAAACTCTAAAACTATGGCTGAAACTAACTATGTCTGAAATAAGCCTCTAAACTGACTAGAAATATTGGGACATGCCCCAGTTAAATCTAGCAAAAACTGAAAACTAAAGACTAAAATGGAAAGATAACATGTCAACTGTTCTCGAAGAATGAGGACTCATCACTGATGTTGCTGAACTGAAGATTGGGAATCGATCTATGTGTGATCTGACTGTTGAGGACCTGAACCTATATCACAAGAAGATGTAGCGCAGAGTATGCGTCAGTACTTGAAAGGTATTGAGCCTGCATGATAAAGTACAGCTAAATAATAAACCAAAGCATAATTTCTGAGCAATGATAAGAGATAAACATGATACCAAACTGAAAACACTGAATCATGAACTACTGAATGCAATGATCAAGTTTATAACATGCTGAAACTGAAATCTGACTGTAATGGATAAAATGGTCAATGCAATAGAATCTGACTGAATTGTGGGAGCTACTAATAACCGACATAAAACCACATGATCTAAATGTGGATTCCGATATATACACCCCATCGAGAGGACCCAATATACCCTGCCAGAGGTATAGAGGCATGACTGGCGTGATCACTAAATGATGCCAACAGAGGGGACTTACAACGTACGGGGCACGTAGTTCTAGGACTTGCGGGTGAATGACCCTAGTCCACTCGATATTAAGCTTATCCCAATTGATTATGTAATTTGGCAATTTATAACTGAAATGTTGTAATACTGGATAGCTCAAAATACTGACATGTTAACTGAAAATGCAACATTAATGTACTGATAATGAAACATTCATAACTAGAGCATGTATAACTGAATAAACTAACCAGCATGTGCAATTCATGAACTAAAAGAACTACATAGCTAGGGTTCTGAATTTATGAAGGAATTTATACCAAACCATACTAAAATCATGAAAATATGATTAGGAATATTAAAGTAACTAATTTATATTGATCTGCTGAAATTCTAGAAACCCTAGGTCTAGCTAATATTAAGAGAATCAAGAATCTTAGTGAATTCTAGGGACCTAATGGGCGAAAGTAACCCACTAGTGAAATCCCACATACCTGGTGACGAATTCCATGGAGAAATCTTTCAATTTCGAGGCTGAAATTGATGAAAACCTGCTGCATTCTTGGACTAGGGCTTGGTCGACTCTTTCTTCTTCTGCATTCTAATTTTCTATGTTTTTGGTGAATGATTTGCTTAGGGTAGATTCTAATTTAGTTACTTGGCTAAAACTAACCAAAACTGCATAGTTAGGGGTTAAACGACGTAGCATAGAGGTCTAACGCATAAGGAAAAGACCAATAGACTCATGACTTAAACGTTGTCGGGGTCATCGACGGACCATGTATTGACCGACGGTCCTGCTGGTCAATCGTCGATCGGCAAGTGGGAGCTGAAACTGGGGGTGTGATCCACGGACACAGACCATGGTTTATAACCTAACCTACGATCCGTAGGTCCGATCGTGGGTCGATATTTAGATGAATATCTGGGGTTTTCTTGGGAAGGGTCACAAGTATCCATCCACGTACCAACAACACGGGCCATGGGTCACCCTACATTCCATGAGTGGCAACCGTGGGTTGCACTTGCAACTCTGAAATCTTCATTTTGGTATGTTCTAGCATACGGGGTGTTACATTATCTACCCCTTGAGAACATTCGTCCTCGAATAAAGACTAAACTAGTTGAAATAGAGGGAGAGAGCTGAACCCCTACCACTAAACACTGGAAACTAATTTCTGACTGAACTAAATTCCAAAAACATGCAAATACGCTGAAAATGCAAGTACAACCTGAAGGAACATGATGCTAAGACTAAAACTGCGCATGAATGAATGAAAAACTGAAGAGGAACTATTACCTCAAGCTAGAATGGAATCAGAATGAAAGAGGTGAAGATACTTGGCCTTCATGGCTGCTTCTGCTTCCCAAGTAGCTTTCTTTATGGACTAAGTCCTCCATAAAACCTTGCAAAATCGACTTCTTTGTTTCTCAACCTTCGAACCTGACGATCAAGGATTTCAACTGGTACCTCTTAAAAAGTGAGACTATCCTTCACTATCACGCTTTCTAAAGGTACAATAGATGTTGGGTCACCCACACACTTCTTCAACAACGAAATGTGAAAAACTGGATGCACTGCTGCTAGTTTTGCTGGCAACTCTAACTCATAAGCCACTTAGCCAACTCTTTTCAAGATATTGTAAGGACCTACTTATCTAGGACTCAGCTTCCCTTTCTTGCCAAATCTCATCACCCCCTTCATAGGTGACACTTTCAGAAAAACCCAATCATCAACTTGGAACTCTAATTCCTTTCTCATTACATCTGCATAGGACTTCTGGCGACTCTAGGATGTCTTTAGTCTATCTCTAATTTGTTGCACTTTCTCCATAACATCATGAACTGAATCTGGCCCTATCAAGGCTGCTTCACCTATTTCAAACCAACCAACTAGAGATCTACATATACGCCCATACAATGCCTTATAAGGGGCCATCTGAATGCTGGAATGGTAACAATTATTGTAGGCGAACTCTATAAGAGGAAGGTGATCATCCCAACTACCCTTGAAATCGATCACACAAGCTCTTAACATGTCCTCTAAGGTATGAATGGTACGCTCTGCCTGACCATCCGTTTGTGGATGAAATGTTGTGCTAAGATCAACCTGAGTACCAAGACCTTTCTGAAACGACTTCTAGAAATGAGAGGTAAACTGAGGACCTCTATTCGAGATGATAGACAAAGGTACCCCATACAACCTGACTATCTTATTAATGTAAATTTTGGCGTAGTCATCCACCGAATCTGTAGTCTTGACCACCAAAAAGTGCGCAAACTTAGTAACTCTATCAACTATCACCCAAATGGAGACATGTTGTCTGCGAGTACGAGGTAAACCTGTGATGAATTCCATGTTGATCACTTCCCACTTCCAAATAGGAATGTCGATCTCTTGAGTCATACCTTCTAGTTTCTGATGTTCTACCTTGACTTGCTGACAATTGGGGCACTTAGCCACAAAATCCGCTATATCCCTTTTCATACCATTCCACCAAAAGACTTCCCACAGATCACGGTACATCTTAGTGGCGCCTGGATGAATAAAATATCTAGAGTTATGGGATTCTGTGAGAATCTGCTGTCTCAACTCACCGACCTTAGGAACACATAATCAACCTTGATAGCAAAGCACACCATCTCCCCATTGGGAGGAAACCTCAACTCTGTCCTGATGGACTGCACCACTAAGTTGGAACAATATCAGATCACTGTCTTGTTTTTCCTTAACCTCCGCTACCAATGATGATTCTGACCCATTCTGGAGTATTACACCACCATCTGATATGCTCATAAGATGAACTCCTAAGCGAGCAAGTCTATGAACATCTTTTGCTAGTTCCTTTCTTTGTTCCTCAACATGGGCTACACTACCGATAGATAGTCTACTCAGGGCATCTGCTACCACATTGGCCTTACCAGGATGGTAATCCACACTCATATCATAATTCTTGAGGAACTCAAGCCATATCCTCTGGCGTAGATTCAACTCTTTCTGGGTGAACACATACTAAAGGCTCTTATGGTCTGTGAACACATCTACGTGAACACCATACAAGTAATGTCTCCAAATGTTAAGTGCAAACACCACTGCTACAAGCTCGAGGTCATTAGTTGGATAGTTGTTCTCATGCACCTTAAGCTATCTAGAAGCATAAGCTATAACCTTACCTCGCTACATCAACACACAACCTAGGCCGACTCTGGATGCATCATAGAAGATAACATAACTGTCTGAACCATCTGGTAGAGTCAAAATGGGAGTTGTAGTCAACCTAGTTTTCAGTTCTGCGAAGCTTTTCTCACAATCATCTGACCACTGAAACTTAACCTTTTTCTGAGTCAACTTAATCAATGGAGAGGCTATGGATGAAAATCCTTCCACGAACCTTCTGTAATAACCAGCCAAACCTAAGACACATCTGATATATGTAGGAGAGGTAGGTCTGGTCCATTGTTTCACTGCTTTTATTTTTTGAGAATTCACTCGGATCCCTTCGCTAGACACTATGTGACCAAGGAAAGCAACGGATTGCAACCAAAACTCACATTTGCTAATCTTAGCGAATAA